TAAATTACGACGCCTCTGCGAAAGAATTTGTTGATTCTGCAAGAAGCAAACGTCAAAACTAAACGAAGCCTTGAGACGAGACGTCAGCACGCCAGCAGCACGTTCAGGGAGTCGCACAAGGAGAGATGGTGTTTTCTACGTCTGACCCCCTTCTGGAGTAAAACAAACAACTGCATGACGGATTAAACTACGACTGAGTTGGATAACGGCACAGAAGCTCCAGCACCAATGAAGGACACATTGCTCAAAGCTTTTCTTCACAGTAAAGGATTTTTGAAATAATTCAGCTGAGAGACGTAACTTCCCCTGATGCCTTAAGAATGTGAGTCAACTGCTTTTCTTTTTCTTTTAATGAATGTTTAAAGTCATCTTATGAAATCTGTACGTGTAACTGAGTTACATGAACTTACTATAACTAAACCAGATCAGTGAACTAAAGACGTTGAGTTGAATCAACTGGTTGCTGGAAAACTCGCCTTCTTTTCACATTTTGTATGTTTTAAGAGTTTCTTTTTCATTTAACTCCAAGGACAACTGCTGAAACCACTTTTAACCAGAATCAGTACAAAGTGTTTCTGTGGCACTGCTCCCAGTCCCAGTGAGATAAGACATGAATCCAGTTTAACACTAGCCTTTGTCATGGTTAGAACTTTTGTTTTTTAGGAAAAGAAACGATAATAACCTAATTTAACATGTGTTAAAGACACACAGCCAGTTTCTGTATTCCTAAAATACCAAAAAACAATTGTCTTTGTGGAGTTTAACTCCAACAAAGCATCACGGAAAGTCTGCTTATATCCTGGTTTTGTTTCCGATTAACTTCATGTAATGAGTTGAGTGAACTTTTAGCTTTTCATTCATTTAACTCAAAATTTTAAGTCAAAATATCCAAATGCTCAGTGACAGTACAAAATAAACTTTAAATTAAATTAACTACAAATGAGCAAAATTATATATATTATATATATCTACAATAAGAAATCTAGAAAAGTTGATGTGACTAAATTCCTGATGTTTTACAGTGTTTCTGAAGAAAGTGAAAATTAGGCAGCAACCTACATCTGCTTCTATGTTTAGGTATTTTACCCGTTTGTTTTATTCTTTACTTTTTTATTTATTATCATTTCCTGAATTATTCATTGCTGTGCAAAAACACACAAGTGTTTAGAAGAATAACTGTGATAAATGAGAGTCTGATGATAACTCAGGGGTTGAGGTGAACGAGCGGGCTGAATGAGAACATGTCTGATGACGCTGCTGTAAACATGGCAGATGCAGGGAGACTCATTTCGGGGATTGTTTATGTCAAGGTTCCTCAACCAACAGATCCTCAACCATCTGCTGATAGACAGTCATAGACAGCAAGAAACGTCAGACAGACAGCGTGTGGAATGAGGAAAAAGATAGAAACAGCACAGTCCAGGCCGAGCAGTCGCGTTGAACTGACCCACATCATAACCTGGTTAAAATGCACCTGTTATGTCACTCTCACCCCAGATAGCACATAGGACATATACATACATGGAGGTCTTGTAGGATAGAACACACACTGCATGTCAGCATGTGATTTCTTTATGTAGGTTTTTTTTTAATATATAATTTAACATCTGACAGCAATGAAATGTCAAGATATTCTGATAATATAGTATCAAAATGTATTCGATGTGAGGCGCATGGACAGTGGAGCACGTGAGATAAACAGGAAAAGACTAAAGAAGACAGTTAGCAGAGAGAAGAGAAACAGCAAATGACTGCAGTGACAGCAGAAAAACACGAGGAGCGATAGGAAGGACGACTGAACGCAAATAAACCAGCGATGCCAGAAACAAATGACGATGGTTTTATCAACCCCGTTACTTGGCCTTGTGGATTTTACACTTGTAAACACAACACTCATATATCCAACTTCTGAAAGCCTCACTCTGGTACGCAGGATCATGTGTCGTAGAGGACAAATATTTCTTATTTACTGTTCTGATTCTTTGGAGAAAAAAAGGCCATTTTGCAGGTTCACTAATGAATGTAAGATGATGTCTGTTCGCAACGAGCCAAATTGCAACATATGGTATCAATCTGCGGCACATCTGGCACATGGCTGCCATTCAGTTGTGTCTCATTTGAGAGCTCAAAATCAGACCAAGTATATGAATGACAGTGACTGGAAGGGGACAAAATGTTTTGCTTATTGCTGCACTGTACATCATATAGTGTAAACCAGAGTAGTTTGAATTTCTCACAAGTGCAGGCATCCCTGGTGATTTGTGATATGACTTTATTTTTTATGTCAGGAATGCAAATCCATCCATCCATTATCTATACACCGCTTAATCCTCACGAGGGTCGCGGGGTGCTGGAGTCTATCCCAGCCGACTTAGGGTGAAGGCAGGGGACACCCTGGACAGGTCACCAGTCTATCACAGGGCTACACTTAGAGACAGACAACCAAGCACACTCACATTCACACCTACGGACAATTTAGAATCACCAATTAACCTCAACATGTTTTTGGACTGTGTGGGAGGAAGTCGGAGAACCTGGAGAGAACCCACGCTGCACGGGGAGAACATGCAAACTCCACACAGAAAGATTCCGGTGCCCCCACCGGGATGCGAACTGGCAGCCTTCTTGCTGCGAGGCAACAGTGCTACCAACTGCACCACCTTGCAGCCCCAGGAATGTAAATATAAAAAAAAATAAAATTACAGTGAAGTTATAATCTCTATGTTTGCAATTTGTACTTGGTCCACCAGTTCAAAATTTGTTGCCAATAATCAAACAAACAAACAAACAAAAATCACTTCTGTATGAACAGTTAAAGTCAGAACTGTAATACATTTGCATAGAATTGTAAAGTTTCTTTTTTTTATTATTGCAACACAGTATCTCCAAAAAGTGAAGTGGTCTGCATACTTCATGGAGTAAAAACTATGGTTTAACACTGCTACTAAAAGACAGAGGCATGAAAGAATAAGGCTGTCGGCAGTGTCGCCTCACAAGAATCAGCCTCTGAGCTCCTCCCACATCTTCACACAGGGTAAATTCGGACGATGTGACTCCATGAGCGCTGGCGACTGCCCAGGATGTACCTGCTGTTTGCTTGTCACTAAACCCGGCTAATACACACTGAGAGCTAACATGTAGTAACATTAACTTGTGATATAAATAAATAGGCCACCAGTGATTGTCTCATACCGCTCACCTTGGAAGAATGAATCATGTAGTAAGGGCAACAAGGATTTACAAAGTGCAAAGCAGGATACACAGAAGGCAACACAGCAAGAAATAATGTTATAAGTTAAAAAAAAGATTGAAAAATGCAATGTGTCGTAATTATTAAATACAAATAAAATAATGAAAGTAATTAAACCTTAATAACAAAGTCAACTCACTGTTTTTTTTTTAAAGCACTCTAGCCAAATTGCTCTCTAGAAGACATGTAAGAGATTTTACCTGACAGGTTATATTGTTAAGATTAAGACACTACAATATTATATAAAATACTGATTTACCTGGCTCAGTCAAATGTTAATGTTAAGAATCTAAAATATTCTATACTGCAATGAGCAATCAAAAGTCTAATAAGTAATAAAGGGGCGACATTTAAGTGACACTTAAGTGAGTGTAAAGAAAATAGGTTTGAGAGTTGATTTACAAGAATAAACTGATATAATGTGTTTATGAATAAAGTGTCGTTTTTGGCACCGTCTGCATCATTTTAAAATAAGAACAACCTTAAGTAAATAATGGCCACTTTATCCATTAGGTGATGCATTCACTAAAACAGCAGCTTGTCCTGAAAGAACAACATTATGAAGCTTTCTCTTCTCGCAGTCTCAGCCTGAACTGCTGCTCCCGCTGGCTGCAGCCGTATGAATGGACTTCCGCATTTCCATGCCACTTAAACGTGACCCGCTATATGTCACGTGACTTCAAACTGACCAATGGGAACGTTTGTTTCGAAGCACGTCGCTCTTCACGTTCGACAGAGCTGGTGATGCGTTCTGGTGCCGTGGGACAGAAATAGATTCTGATTTAATTGACGTTAGATTATCGTTCACAAAGACTCAGTTAAAAAAACAAAAAAAACAATCAATCAATCAATCAATCAGACTATATATGTACAATACTTTTCAAACAAATGAAACACAAAAGGTTTTACAGAGCAAAAGGAATTAAACAAAAAAATAAATAAACACAAGACACAAAGACATAAACACAACACATAAATAAGACAACAGTCAAAAAAAATGAAATGATAAAAATATTTAAAATACATAAAAAAATAATTATATATACATACCTGGATAATTTAAACATTAGAGTTAAGAGCCTACAATATAACTTAATACGCACATGTACCTGAGAAACGCAAATACTACAGTTACGACTCTATAATACTGCACAAAATGCACCTTTACGTGACTTTAATATTATGGTTAAGAGCCCACAACATTACATGAAATAAAAAATCTAATATAGATATTCACTGTAGGACCAGGGCCCTAAAAATATCATATACAAAAAAACAGCTTCACCTGACAAATCTAAATATTTGGATTCAGACCTTATAATATTACATAAAATACGAATGTACATAACTAAATTATTTATTGAGACTTAGACTCTACAATACTATGTAATAGGTGAACATACTTGAGGGTTTTAATTAAACCAAAATACTGCAATATTATATAGTGTTAATTTACCGCACAAAATAAAATCTTGAGGTTCCTATAGTGCAATATTTCACATACTTAAAATGTATCCAACCGTCTCCACTGTTGTAGAAATATGTAAGAAAAAACTGCATCACTTACATAAATCAAAACTGACTAATTGGCAGCGCAACCATAACTTTATTATTGACATTGTTGACGCTTTCAGCAACAGGAGCTTGTGTTGTGTTTCTCTGTGCCCTCAGCGCCGTGAACGCAGCACGAGATGAGGATAAGAGGACGGAACATGCGCAGTGAGCCAAACTCTTATGAAACAAAGTAGTGCAGCAGCAGGTAAAGGGAGACAACAGAGATCCGCCGGTAGCGGCCACTGACCCGGCTGAAAACACTACCCAGAGCACCAGAACCGAGGGAAGAAATGCTACGTTCTTTGGGCTTGACATAAATACAACCTCCGGGGAGGCAGCACAAGGTAAGTCGGCTCTTTTGACCGCTTTTTTCGGGGTTTGTTTTAAAAGGAACGCGGGTGTACTTCTATAAACAGCGCCACTAGTTACATAAGCATCGCTCTGGTGACCCCGTTTTGCGAGACGTAAATGTTATTTCCTTTGCGACGACTTGAAGTTGAAGACAGATTTACATTTTTTCGAGACTTGCTAAAACTCCCAGATGCTTCTCTGGGCACTGTTTGTGCTGTTGTTCGCTTGTAATGTGAACAAAACTGAATTCACATAAGGTGGATAGAGTGTTCCATATAGACGGTGTGACCTAATTTCCATTTGGAGAAGTCATAGGAGCCATCAGAGTGACTTGACACTTGGATTTTAGCAACAAACCCCACTTTTATAAAAGCCTTTTGCATATTATTGTGCAGCATTGTAAAGTGTATAAATGTAAAATATATAATCAAACCATAATAAGTTGATTTTAATGTGAGAAATTGGTGTTTTTTGTTCTGTATTGATTTAATGTTTTGATTGCAAGATTGTGAAATACTCCTTAATTTCCTTAGGATTTTTTCTTTTTCTTTTTATCACTATTGATATTTGTTATTGTCCCAATTACCGAACAATCACAAGCCTGCAATCAGTTTTTTCCATTACCACCTATTTTCACACACACATAGCCTTAAATAATTTAATTTATTATAATATGATCTGTTAATGTTATATTCTCATAATTAAATACAGCCACCATGTTTTTTAAAAAAAGAAAATAAAAATGCATTTATTCTGCATGGCATTGTAACTGGAGTAGATTTATTTGTGAATTGCAGATAAGATACTGATGACAAATGGTTTTCGCGTCACCGAGGCTCCCCTAAAATCTGGGCTCCGTCTGTTGGGTCATCTCGCCAGAAAAACTAACGGCGCAAAATTTCTAGATGTCACACTGTAAGAATTAGGACTGTGGCAGAAATCGTGATTCATTATGTTTATTTATTTATTTTTAGGTTGCAATGATCAGGTCTTGTGGTAAACCACGTTCATCAAAGATCATGCAACATGTAGTAACGGATGCTTTGGAGACATGTCAGTTTCGAAAATAGGCTCTCTGAACAAACCGACTTTCAACTGTTCTACTTTTGTTTTGCCAAATAAATAACGTTTCCTTTATTTAAATCAATGCTAGAATCCCCCCTACAACCCTCTTTAAACCTTACTGAGTAAAACTTGGTTTGGTCCAGCGAAGAGCTTTTAAAGTGCAGCAAGAGTTGTATACAAGGTCGCCAATCATACTGTGCATGGTTTATTAATGGATCACTGTGACTACGGATGAATTGATCCACCGTGCACATCTAATTTTTGAATTTTTAAGGCACTTCATAGAGGGAGGCAGCTGGATCGATGCAAAGTAAAGTGGATTTCAGGTGTGACCCAGTTCCACTGTGAGAAAAATAATTAAAGGTCTTAACTTCTCAAAGTCAATTTATACCGTTAATTAACCTTAATTCACAAATTTCCCACTGATTGCTTTCTTCTACTGTCTTCCCAGTTGGCCAGTCAATATTAAAACATTTTCCAAACTCGCTGAACTTTATTTCAAATCTTAGTTTCCAAAGATACTCGATATGTGGGGTTACATTTTAGAGAAATGGTGGACAACTGAAGGAAATCTTCAACCAATATTTCAGTCACGCTATCTATAGATTAACTACATGAGCGACCGCACTTACCTGCTACTTATTAGCCTAAATGAATTCTAAACAAGCCTAACAAGCTGATATGTGCTACATACTGAGTCATTTATACTGAAATGACTTGGAGTAGACCGTCGTGCATTGGCCCAGATTCATACAAAGTCTGACAAAATTATATCAACTGGTGACAGCACAAGAACTATTGAGAAATGTAATGCAGACAAGCTAGCCTGCTGTTTCTAGGTGATCTGGCATGTTGGTTGTTGAGCAATAATGTACAAACTGCGACAATCTGTGACATAGTTTGGAGTTGATTCGGAGTAAATGTTCACTAAACGTGAAATAAGTTAGACCCAGTCAGTCTCTGTTGCATCGGGCGAGTTCAAAGTTGTGAAATCGTGGGGGCGTTCACAGGTAGTCCGATTCCCCTGCTGCCAAAAATAATGCATTAATCCTTTTGAAAGTTGTCGATGGTTGGATTTCTCCTCATGAAAGAGACACTGGCTAATGAGAATTTGGTTGATGAGAGCATATTGACTAACCAGTCAACCAATCAACTTGGACACTCCACCCCAGAGAAACGTCCATAAAAGTTGCGTAAAACTGATATCAGGGTAGCATTGTGTTCGATGTCCTGGTGAATGTGAGAACGCTTCCCTGGCATTCAGTTCTGAGCGCATATATGTGTTGTCTTGGCAGGACAGTTTGTTCCTGACCTTAGGCAAAGTAGTTTGACAAAAATAATCTTAACACAATGCGTGCATTTACTAAAGCTTTCTGCTTTTGTAGTCTTCATTAGCAAACAGAGTTGGTTCAGATGTCATCACATGATCTAGGTGGAACTTTCAAGCCCATAAAACAACATTTTTGATGCTGCTCTTACTCGATTCTCGTCATTTACCTGCTTCAGTGAACGGGTGCTGCTTAAATCCAGTTTAATGCTGCTGTTCATATCTGGTCCTTATTTGTAAAATCAAAAACCTCTGAAGTGAGACGCATGTACTGAGAAGCGGTTGGATCAGGGAACACAATGTACAGTTTGCCTGCGTCTGTACTCGTTAGTGTTTATGCGAGTGTTTTTATACGATTTTGAATGGAGCCTGCTGACCAACAAGGTTTCATTGAAGTTCTGACTCATTCAGTCAGTCATGCACACGCAGAGTAGCAGTATCTTAGTGAAAGAAGCTCCAGGCGAGCTAAACGTCAGCCTGCCACCCAGCAAATTAGCCATTTAAATGAGTCTGCGCCTGCCTGTCTGTCAGGAACATTCTGTCTTTCTTCCAATGCTATCAGCTGCTCAGTTTACCAGCCAGCTCCTGAAATCCATATCGGTGTCTGGAGGCACGCTTCCTCATATAGACGACTGAATGTAGAGTATATGGCTTTTGTAGAAGGAAAAAAAAAAACAACAAAAATTGGTTTAAGACAAAGTCCTCACAAGGGCTTACAAATGCAATACCTGGTAGACACAAAATGGCAGTAAAAGTTGACCTGTATTTTGCAGGTATATTCCAAAGTGTCACCTGTTGCACTGACAGAGTATTAATGTTTTAATGTCGTGTCCATGGTGAGGCTTTTGACCCTATTTGACACTATTCAGTTTTGTTCTCTCTGACTATCTGCCAATCTAATCAGTCATCCACTAACTTTGCGTCACGCATTCAGGTTGCATGTTAGCACGCTGACAATTTCACAGAAAGCTTCATCCTTCATTGCTGTTATGGTAAATCATGCTTTGCAGTAGTTTGCATAGTTTCTTTCTTAGATTACATATAATAACATTTTTACACAAATTGGGCTTCATCCTGCTTTTGCTGCATGTGAAATTTGTGTTGTATGAATAAAGAAAGAAATGAATCACAAATTTGTCGCCGGGCTGAGCAAACCAAGAAACAGCCACAGAGGCTCCTCACTAGCCACAATATGTTTGTTTTATACAAAGCCCTCGTCAGTTTTTCTTTGTTTGGATAATTGTATGGATTTTTGCCTATATAAAACATAGCTGAAAGACAGGAAAGACTGGAAAGTACAGATAAGAGCAACAAAAAGGTCCAAAGCTGGATTTGAACCAGGGTCATTGTTTGTGTCTCAGCCAGCCGAGCCACCACAGCGCATGCAGGCCATTCCTTTTTATTTTACCTTGAAGTAATAAAATCTAAAAGTTCACAGAGCCAAAGGTCACATTTCCAACTTTTGTCTGACCAAAGCCCAAAAGTATTCGATTCATATGGATTAAAAAAATACATTATTTTGCACTTATGTTGAGCTTCGCTTCACTGTTGGTTTCCCTTCTCGGACAAATACCTAAAAATGATTCTGCCAGCAATAGAAAGCACAGAAAGTCTTGTTCTATTCTCAGCACCTCCCGCGCTGTTGGCAGCTGATACCACTTGGATGCATCACTTATCTCTCCTGCTGGGAGGCATTCAGTTTTGTACGAGCAGTTATTGCACTGTAAAAGAAAGAAAGGAAACGAAGAAGCAGGTGGCAGCATCACATTTTGCTTTGTACAAACACTGCTGTCATCTTCATTCAATTTGACAAATGAAACATTTTGCCACCATTCAGTCATTTCCAGCGCTTCGCTGTTGAGTTCGAGCAGCTCGGTCAATCTTCTTCGTCTTTTCTTTCGTTCAGAGTAAAATGGCCCCAAATTCCATCCACTGGTTCCGCAAGGGCCTCCGTCTCCACGACAACCCTGCACTACGGGAGGCGGTCCGGGGGGCGGGCACAGTGCGCTGCGTTTACTTCCTGGACCCGTGGTTTGCCGGTTCCTCCAACGTAGGAGTCAACAGGTGGAGGTAAGACAGCGGTTTCTTTTCTTTCTGTCTTTATTTTGGTTTGATAGTTGGCTTGATATCATATTACGCAACGGTTTTACAAAGTCGTGTCCTCTAAACTTGACCTCGCCAACCCCCATGCAGACACGCATCAAAAACATGAGGGTGGGTGAGATTTAGAAGACAGGAAAATAAGAGGAAAATCTATTTTGCAACATGAAAAATTATCACAGGTTCACAGGTCCTCTAGCGTTTTCTTTTCAGACCTGCAAATAAATATCCTTCTGTTTTAACTTGAAAGAAATGTGTTTACAAAATCGCCAAAATTACGCCCTTTATCAGAATCTTTCCCACAGTTCCTGCATCACTCATCTGTGATATGCAATTTGGTAATTCGAAACGTAACCAAATCTAAGCTAAAAATTAGGATATTTCATCAAAGTCACTTTATCTTTGGCAGATTTTAAAATCAAAAGAAGGAAAGGCACGCACATCCCCGAGGCCCACTGGGTTGGGTGCTGGATTGCAAAATGTCAAAAATGAGAAAAGACAAGAAGAACGTGTGCGGATCGTTCTTCTTTTCTTTTCTCAGATTTTAAAATCAAACCTGTAGAATAAACTGTTTCAGATCCTGTAAAAAAAGAAAAAGAAATTCTGTGCTTCTCGGCGCAGCAAAGAAGTCTTCGGTGACAGTTCAGGGACATTTCACATGAACTGCACGCTGTGTTTTACAAAGAGCAGAGAGGAAGAAAGTATGGCAGACAATTTTCCTCAGTTTTTCTGATGTTCAACTGCATGTCTTTGGATTTCAGACTTGTTTGTTTTTGATAGCTTTTGTGCTCTTGGGACATTTCAGAGGTATTTTATCGTCTTTTCCGGCGAAATATTGACAAGATTAAACGCTGAGCTGATAATTCTTAGTTGCAGCCTGTTATATGGATTCAGCACGTGCAATACCATCAATAAAGATAAAACCAAAAAAAAACGGGAGTTAATATGAGCTTTTGTAACGTACACTGACCTCAAAATCATCACAACACCACTCACACTTTTGTGACATCTTTTCTCATCGCAAAACTGCCGTCAACTCAGGGATTGTGACCTGCACAGAGTTTTATTTCTTTTGTATGATAATAATGATTGCAGCCAGTCAGCTACTGTGGAGCTGCTGGAAGCTGTGAGTCATAAAAGGAGCTGCCTTACTGGGAGGAGAAAGGAGGGGGAATTGGAAACCACAGAGCTGCAATGCATCAACACACAACATGATGTCAGCATTTCTCTACTGTAGAAGCTTGAGTTATTGTATGTAAGGTGTTCAGATTTGAAAAGGTTTTGTTAAGTGGGGTTTAAACTATTGCCTTTCAGTCTTGTCTTTTGCTGCTACATGACTGAGATGAAATACATCCAGATAATGGAAACCTGTTGTTAAGCCTTTTTTTGTTGCCCTTAAGTGTTTAATATTAACACATCAAGTAAATAAGGATTTACAGCTGTTACCTATAGGCACCTGCTTAGCTGGTTTCATAGCCACAGGGTGACCGTTGTTTTGGCCTCTGCTCACATAATCCCCATCATAGAGGTCAGGTAGATGTACGGCTCAGTGGCTGGATGAGTAGGTTCCAGCAGGGGTCTGTCCATCCTCAAACCAAGAAGGCTGCAGGGGTGTGAGAGCACTTGGAAGTAGGTTAGTGGAATAGATGTACCAGACCTTGGGATAAATGGTGTGTAAACTCTGTGTGTATGTGTGTGTGTGTCTTGCCAGATAAAGCTGGACCCGATGCGTGTGCGCTCACGTGAGCACTGAGACTGTTTGTATAGCATCGAAGGATGTCACTCCAGGCGTTCATTGCTTGCTGGCCCGTTTTTGCTTTGAAGTTCTATTTGTAGTCCTTGCACAGACCAGTCAATACAGAGGGCAGTGACCCAGTGATATCCAGCTGATTGTGATACTAAAAATGTAAACAGATCAGCGGCGGTGGCCGTGTCTAGTCAGGAAATGCACATCAGTGACGCACGTGTTGCTTCATCAGATTCCAAAACATAATTTGTAGGCTAAGAAAATCCATATCTTTATTTTTGTCAGCGTATCCAAATCACTTTCTGGATTTCTTTATTTTCTCCTGCCTCATTTCTACATGTGTGCTGCTACATAAAGTAAACCTGTAAAATAAAATGTCTCTTGTACGGTGTGACGTAGCTACATTGCTGCAAATCAGTTTTTTAAAAAAAGCACAAAAATGAAATGATTATTTTTTGTACGACAATGTAAAAAAACTAAAAACTAAACTAAAAACTACTTATATTAAGATGTACAACATTTTTCCGAGTTCCCACCCATGTGTCACCCATACTCGGAAAAAATGCTGAATCTCCATGCTATAGACGTTTAACCACTAAAATGTTCAAGTTGTTTCCATATTTATGTGAAACACAGCCCGCAGTTCAGCAGATTTCAGTCAAAAGTCCCTAAATATTTGTCGTATAATTGTTGTAGTTGAGCCACTGATGTATTTAAGGATTTATCTGCAGTGTTTCCCTTTACCGACAGTCTGTTATACCTGGACTAGACCATTTATATGATTCGGAAGGTAATGCAAAACATTCTTCCACGTTACAGAGGTTTTTTATGCATGGAGGACTTGGAGGCATCCTCCCAAAGAGGTTTCAGGCAGCACTAAAAGGAAAATCACCACAGAACTTAAAACAGAAGTAGCATCTAATGTGTTTTTTTTTTTTAAATCTGTAACCGGTTCATTGGGGTTTCAGCATCACATATCCGATGTGTCTCTAGCTGTGTGATGTGATGTTAGTCTGTATAGTCTGTATTTATTCGCGTGTTATTGCATCACATTCAGATCTTGTTATCAATGGCATGATTTTAAATACATCTGTACAACACTTTATATGACACATTTAAAATCTTGCTAAACTTTTCCATCCTCAGTGGGATTTAAGATGCATATTTCTGTATTGTTTTCTTGTAGGGTTTTTTGTGCCTGCCTATGGGGCATGACTTTTTAATGGACTCATAAGTGAGACCCGGCAAAGTTGAGTAAGGCCACATTAAATAAACATATCTCGAGGCAATTTTAAATGATTCGGTAGCACTTTGGAATAAAAGCAGTAGAGCTCATATTTATTTAGTGCTGTACAGGGTTCAGTTCAGGGAACGTGGAATCTAAAGTGTAAAGTTTATGCTGTTGAGACTTTTGGTTTGAAGAAAAGAAGGGCATTGTTTTTTTTTCCAGTTGCAGTGAAAATTGCAGAATGTGGCCCACTTATCTGGGCTGAGGCAGTGACGTACAACAAACACACAGCTGTCAGATCAAGGCTAAAAAAAACAAAATCATCGTTTATCTGCGAGAGGCTGGAGAGCTGCATCACGGGTCACAAAACAAGGCACTCAGATTACAATTAAGACACATCAACCAGAACGGAGCTCGCTGATCTCTTCATACAAACATGTTTTCATGTCCATGTGGTGTAAAATTTATAATTCTTTACACCATCATTTGGCTTGTCCCACGTTTAGAAGCACAAACTGCACTCAGATTAGGCCTAGCATATGTCTGCAGCACTAATAGTCAACATAGGTTCAGACACAGTGGCAGTGTAGCTTGCACAGCTGCCGTGACACCTGCAGGTCTGTATTCAGCAGAGCAGCATCCAATTACCCCTGTTATTTTTACCTTAAACTGCGACTTAAAATGTCTCATAGGTTCTGTCGCACTGGGATTAGAATGCTCCCGGGACCATCCCGTCTTGTGAATGAACCACTAGTGAGTCAAAATCAATGGTAGTGAACTGATGATAATTTGTATAATTTTGTAATTAGACTTTGATTGTTGCCGTCTGTTCCCTTATATCTGATCTCACCATTATGAAGAGTGAGAAGACTAGGATAACCGCCCACCAATGTTACCAGCATTGACTCTACATATAAACAATATTTTACTGCTTCCATTTCAAATGTTGTTTCTTTCATCTTTTTCTGCTTTCTGTGTAAACACAGGCTGCTGTTACGTCTAAAAGCTGCTGCATTTTTGTCACATGACTGTTGGTCATAGTAAATTTAGTTTAGCAAGATATTTTTTTGTTTTTTCACAGTAGCTGTTTATAACAATAACTTTATTTGTATAGCACCTTTAAGACCAACAAATCACAAAGTGCTTTGACAGGTAGAACATAAAATCTAGATCAAATATAAGGCAGGACAGGGCGCACGTGGGTCAAAACAAAATAATATATGAAAAGTGCGCGCAAAGACACACCGTAGAAAATGAAAATGTACAGAAAGTTAAGGGCAAACGGTTAATTTTTGGCAATTTTTTAAAAACTAAACATGTAGATTAAACTGATTTTGATGATTTATTATGATTATGAGCGCAGATTTGGTTTAGTTTAGGAAGTTGAAAATCTGATGATTTAAAAAAACAAAAAGGTTTTTGTGTTTTTACAATTTCTTCTTGTTTTTTTTGTTTTTTTAAAAGCGTACCTTTCAAACTAGTCTCTTCTTTTTCTTGTTCAGAGGGTTAAATTACTTATCTGGTTGTTTTTAATGCCTGCAAGTTTTTTTGGATGTAAATTGTGGGTGCTTGTGCTTGTTTTCTCATTGATTCTCTGCACCTCTGGGCTTTCTTGACCCATATACTCTGTTTTGAAGCATCTCACGTAAACACCAGATGATTAACCGATAACCATCTGCTGAAATTGGAGAGAACGCTTCAAGATGTAGGTTCTGCTTCTGTGTGTGACAAACAAGGTCTGTTTTATTGATCTTTACTGATATCTCAAACTGATGTCCTCACAAAATTAAGCAAGACATATTTACTCGGTGATTGAAATACACACAAAAAAAAGGGTTAGATGACAAATAATTCCCTGGATAGCTTAAATGGCTAAAGGAAAGCAGGCAACAGATGGAAGACATACTCGGTGTGTTCACGCTGTGGTGATATATTACATAGGAGTGCAGAGAGTGGGAGTCAGCGCAACAATCAGCGAAAGTAAGAATAATCAAT